AGAGAACATTTGTTTATGTGTGTGTGTGACGCATGTTGACATGTCTATGATTCTTCGAAATGCCGCAGTTGAAACCAACGACAAACAATCCTTGCTGAGCAATGTACAATGCATGTAGCAATGATCGGCAGTGAATCGAGCGAATAATAAAGCTTGCAAAGATACAAGTGCTGTCCTTGGCACGCTGCACATTGGCAGGTGAGGTTGGAAAGTGCTATTTTTGCGTAAACATATATTTTATATATGTTTTTACAAGTATTCATGGGGCTAGGCAACGCGTTGTCAATCAGAGGGTAAAAGTCTTGAAAGTACTGCACGTGCGAGCTTTCAGGCGAGGGTCTTCCACCAATCATCCAAATTGGGGTTCGTGAAAGTGTCTTCTATCCGTTTTGCGTCTTGGCTCATGGCATTTTGCACCCTATCGTGCAAGGTTCCTCTTAGGTGTGAAAGAAAGCTACACACCCCGAAACGGCTCCGCTTTCCTTTGGACGCCCACAAGACAAGCATTGACAGGTCGGCCGAGTGTTGACACACACACACACACATGCAGCCAAAGGGTTTCTCAAACATGCGCGTTGGGTCCACGGATGGTTTTGAAGGGAAACCCAAGATGCACAGCCATTTGTTTCCTAGAGGTCGCCTTCAAGTACGACCGGGCCGTGCACAAGACACTGGGCTCCTGCTTGGAGGATGCAGACGGTTCTGCCCCATTTGATCAGCGAGTGAGTGCAAGATTCGGCCAAAAGTCAGAAGTCAAGAACCAGCTGTAGACAACATAGATGCCCAAGGGCTGCAAGGACGAGAATATCTCATGCCAGAACATGATGGGTGGCAGCAATCCATGCATCTTCCATCGGCATCGGAACATTCAGCACACTTTGCGCAGGAATATTTCATTCTGTGCCACCCATGATCGTCAGTTCGCCCATCTGAAGATGGAGCAACGCAAGCAGTGTGGTGACCCTGGAATTGTGGCTCAACTGTGGGGGCCCCGGGGTTCTCTTCTCATATCCCCGCGAAAGAAGTGAGCCCTTCTTGATCACAATCAAGACTCATTTTGTGAACAGTCGGGTGAGCCTGGAGTTGCAAGTCTTTCGTTTCCAATTCTCTGGATGCAAGCCACTTCTCACCCAGCACTTGCAGCGTCCACTGAAGTGCCAATCCATATTAAGCTCTCGTGCTGGTTGGGCCAAGCAGGATGCAAACCCCTTGCTTCGGGAGGCAGCCGCAAGCCCAGTCTGTGGCGATGTGTATCCGCTCAATTTGGATCCTTACGTTCAATTCCGGTGGCCTCTATCCCTTTCTTGTACCTTTCATGTCGCTTGTAACAGACCTCATTTCACACCCTTTTGCTTTCGGCTGTGGACGTTCAACCTGGGGATTTGGAACATGGAAGGTCAAGAAAGCCCAATCGCGAAATGAGTCTCCTTGAAACCCTGGGATGGTGACGGAAGGGCACAACCCCCAGACATGCGTTCGAAAGGCCGCCTTGTGGCTCTGTACGGCATTTCGGGTAGACCATTGGCGTGCCTAGCATTTCTTGTCTGATGAGATCACACCCAGTTTAGTAGGCGGTTCCCCCTTTTAGGTGTGGGTTCCCTTGTTGAAGGCTTCCGTTTTCGTGATTCTTGCGATTGTCTCTTTTTACACATATTTTGGGGAAATTTGCGAGACAGAACACAACATTGCAGTTTTGCTGTCAAAGAATCACACAAACATTTATGCAATCTAATTTAATGCACATACAAAAGCATTTGTGTCTTGGGCGGAATGGAATTCCGGCTCAGTTTTTCACGACTGGATGATTTCTTTCTAAATCGGGCCACTTCTCTTGATGGGGTTCAACAGTTTCGACTTTTGGCAGTTGCCCGAACGGAAGGAGGACTCTTGCCCATGGGAATCGCCCGAGGCCAGGTAGTGAAGAAATCGTTGCTGGAGCTGGCCAGTTGAAGGGATGATGACAGAAGGGCATAAGAATTCTGGTAATGGCCTAAACGACGTCCGAGGCTGCACAGGCTCTGGCGCTGGTGACAGACTGCGGGGACGAGTGAGCTCGGCCTTCGTCATTGCGAGCTCTCCTTGGCCTCAGCCAAGCGCTGTTGTGTTTTCTGCATGGCCAGTGGCATGACCGGATTCGTTTGACTCAACTCACGTTCATAGAGCCAAGCCATCTCTAACACATCCGGTTTAACGATTTTGAGCGCTGCAGGTACGTTTGCCTTCTGCTGGAGGCGCACCTGGATGATCCCGACTTTGCGGTGAAGCGTGCTGTGCGGGAGCCAGGGGAGCCGTGAGTCTTGGGGAGCCTTGGACCAGGGCTGGTGGCAGTGAGGTTTTGGCCAGTGACCGTGCCTTGTGTCTTTCTGAACCAGCCCCAAAATCGACGACTGATGTTCGTGGCAATCAGGCTGAGATAACAAAGGGTGCTGGGTGACAGGGCTGGCGGGTAGGGGGTGGCCGACTAGTACCTGAATGAAGCAAGCAAGCAAGCCGACTGTTTGGCTGGCTGGGACAGATTGACAGATTGACTGATTGACTGCTTGACTGACTGACTGATTGACTTCCTGATTGACTGATTCTAAGTGATGAGCAAGCTACTAGCTATCCAACTGGCTGACCAGCCGACGGGCTGACAAAAGACTGACTAAGAAAGGCAATTCCAACCTTACTATGAAAATGACTTGCTAGGGGCAGCAGCCGAATCGTATTTGATCATGTGCCTTGAACAAACTCCTCAACTTGCTCCACATTTATGTAGCCCGGGTGTCTACACATCGAGTGGCAGATTTTGATCAGCCTTGTGAAAAAGAGAGGCACCGTCATCCCCACCAATTCAAGTTGATTCAACTAGGGTCCCTGACATCCGCAATGGAAAAGGCTCTCGCTCGCCCGGAAGGAGTCGCTGACACTGTTGGGTCAAGAAGACCTGAGGCAGGGGCCTGGATAGAGAGTTTGGAAAGACCAGTCGAAAAGGCCAAGTTCTGCAAGGCCCGCGTCGAAATCGCAAGATAAAGTTTTGGTTCCTGGCGCTGAGATTGTCAGATCCCTGCCATTGGAGACGAGCATAGCCGCATAGTGCCACTCATGCTGTGCGTGCTTCTCATGTGGTGTGGGGAAGAACCTCAGAGATATTGGCGAATATTTTGGTTTGTATCGCTGACGGGTTTCGAGCTTGCAAGACGGCTTCCTACAAGACGGCACGTGCAACAACGCACACACACACACCCACACGCAAATGTAACAAAGCCTCAACCACACACACAACACACAAACACACAAACACAAACAAGCACACAAACGCACAAACACACAAACAACGCACAATCAAACACACATAGAAACACAAACAAATGCACAAACAAATGCACACACACAAACACAAACAAGCACACAAACAAACACACACAAACACAAACAAACACACAAACAAACACAAACAAACACAAAACACAAAACAAACACGACAACAAACACACACACACACACACACACGCACAAACAAACACAGAAACAAACACACAAACAAATACACCAACAAACGCCCGAACAAGCACAAACACAAACAAACATACAAAACTACACACACAAACAACCACACACACACACACACAAGCACACATCAAGCCACGAGTACGCGCACGAGTACGCGCATGAGTACGCGCACGAGCACAAGCACTCGCACGTGCGTGCGTACGCGCACGCGCTTGTGCAAGCCCACGCCAATGCCCACGCGCACGTGCACGCTCACGCGCAACCCACGCACACGCGCATGCGCCCACACACACACACACACACATACACACACACACACATAGACATACGCATACAGATACACATACACATTCACATACAGATACACTAAACACATACACATACACATACACACACACAGACACACCTACAAACCGACAACCCCACAAACACACCACATAACTCACAAACCCATGCGACCACACACACACACAGACACACGCATGCACAAGAACGCAAAGACACGCACACACACACAACACACATTGAAGCACACAGACACAAGCAAACCGCATGGCACGCAACAACAAAGACCCATGCACACAAGCGCACAAACACACACACACACAATCACAAACACAACACACACACACACACACAACGCAAACATCACATACATACACAAACACAAACACATACACCCACACGCACACACACACACATGCAGACGTGTAAATATGTATAATGCTATATATATATATATATACATATATAAACATATGGGGGTTGAGCAAAAGGTCCTTTACATGAGCCATTGGGGAAAACCACTAGAATATGATATGTCCCACCAAGTCGGAAAAGTTACCCAAGGTCATGTCAGGACCAGGAATATTGATCAACCATTTTTGCTCCCCCCTCCCAAATGTCGAACTTTTTGTGGGTTTCAATGGTATTTGCGTTTTTTTTGGCCTTTTTTCGTGCTTTGGGGAAAGCAGCAAACAAAGGTGCCTTATTTAAATCTATTTAGATTCTAATTAGAAACTGGGAAAAGCATCCTGGGAAAGGAAGTCCTCTTTAAAATCTAGTTTGAAGTAGGTATTACAATTAAACCTATTCTTCCAACACGAAATACTATTTACATCATTTCTAAAACTACACACTGTATTAGGACGTTTCACTGTTAATGTCTGTCTAAATTCATTGGACATCTCAATTCTAGAAAATGAGACCCGCTTTAAAGCCGAATTTGAAATAATAATTCCAAATAAGAATGTTATCTTAGCAAACGTCTACTTAGATTCTCGTTAAAACTAGACACTCTACTAGAAATATGTTCTTATTAAGTTCTATTTAATATCTGATCAAAAAATACAACTAGAACATGATTTAAGTTCCAGTTTCAAATTCGACTTTGAAAATGGCACCCATTTAGATTTTCTTTAAACTAGAAATCGTACTAGGATGATTTCCTCACTAACTCCGCTTAAACTTTATAGAGAATTGACTACACGATACTAGAAAAAAGAGAATCTACTTTGAACAAATCAAAATTATACTTTGAAATGTTTCAATTTAATTGTTTGATCATACCTTAAATACAATTTGAAAGTGACACAATTCTAGTCGAGTTTCTGGTTTTTAACAAACACCAGATAGGTTTGTTTCCAAAGAAGGGCTTTAATTGGATGTATTACAAATCTTGTTTGAACAGGACAACCTATTTAGATTCTCTTTAAACTGGAACATCCTACTAAGAGTATTTGCGTCTTAAGTTCAAAAAAAGAAGAGGAGACCGCCTTTAAAGTCTAATTTGACATACACATTCCAATTAAAAAATAGTCATTGCAAAGGAGATTCTATTCAAATTGCAGTTTTCTTAATTCATAGGTATTTGCAGTGGTTTTCTGCCTTTCTTGGGGCTTTGGGGAAAGCAGCAAAAACAGAGCACATGTCCAAAGACTATCTGCAAGCTTCAGGTTGAAAACTGTTCCAGCGAATCTTGAATCCAGGCCCGAATGAGACTTTAGTCGGTTTGGATTTACCTCTCCTATTTTGAAGCTGAGGTTTGGTCAGGAGATGCCAAAAACAACGGCAAAGAAGAGAGTCAGGGCCCCAACCAGTTGAAACCAGTAAAGCCCTTTCTGAGAGGAAAGGTGCCCCCAAGGGGGCCTGAAACCGCTTAAAGCCATTCTCAGAGGAAAGACCCCCACCCAAGGCCAACAACCATTTCAAACGTTTTAACCGTTTCAGCCCTCTCCCAGAGGAAAGGTCCACCCCCCCCAGCCCCCAAAAGGGCCAGGGCCCCAAACCGTTTAAACCGTCCAAATCGTTAAAACCGTTTAAACCGTTTAAACTCTCTCTCAAATGAAAGCGCCCCCCCCAGGGCCACCTGAGAGAGGGTTCAAATAGTTCAAACAGTTCAAACCGTTCAAACCGTTCAAACCGTTCAAACGGTTTAAACGGTTTAAACGGTTTAAACAGTTTTGGGCTCAGACCTTTTCTCTGAGAAAGGGTGTAAACGGTTCAATCGGTTTTGGGGCCCAGACCTTTGCTTTGAGAAAGGGTTCCAACGGTTTTTAAACGCTTCAGGAGAGTCTTTTTCCTTTTGCAGAGTCAGATGTAGTGGGCATCACAGATGAAGACGGACAAAAACGTCGACATTTGCCGGGGGGGGGGGGGCACCATGTACACTTATATGTGTATATATATATACACACACACACACGCACGCACAAGCAGGGCAACCAAAAACGGTTGCTGCCAAGGTCCGACAGACAAGCAAGCATGTCACTTGCCCCTTACAGTTTTGCCACAATTGGGGTTTACCGTCTTTCTCTCACGAATGCTTGTGAGGCATATGGCCACTCTCCCTCATCGATTCGGGCAGTTTCTGGAGAGATTCTTGCTTGCGCTCAAGCGAGACGCTTGGCAGGCGCACTGCCTTCGCCAAGCGCTGAGTGCCCGCTGAGCGGCGCCGCTCCAAAGATGGCCTTCATGCCGCGCCAATGCTCAAAACACGCGGCCAGCTTGCGGCGAGGTTTCTAGAGGAAATCGTCACAAGGTTTCAGGATTCAGGTTTTAGGGCTTCGGGGATAGTTTTAGGAACATAGAGGTTTTATCAGTGAATCTAGGTTCCAGTGGGGCGACTGGCTGCCATGAGCGGGGTAGCAGGTTTCCAGCTGGTTTTCTGGGCACTCCCGCGGGAAGTTTTCATGGTTCGAAGCCAAATTGGCCGAGAGGGACACCTCTGATGGTAGGCGGGTAACAAGTGGACCAGGTCGCGGCGGTTTGGCTTGATTTGGGTTAGCCTGAAGTCATGCTTTTGCATCGGCTTGGTTGGCGGGCCTGTCGAGAAGGCAGCTTCTTGTTGGGGTTCATGCATTTCTGTCTCGTTTAGAGTGGCTGTATAGGTTGGTTTGTGGCTGGATGGTTTCAGATTGATGTTTGTGTGGAAGGCGGACAGATCCTTGATTAACATCAAGAGTTAGATTAAACTCGCTTCACGCTTAGGACAGGTGTTTCAGAGCCAAAATGGGTGCTTCCTCATGTGAAATGGGCGTGTCGTTTTTTGAAGGTACCCTGTTTGGGGTTGTTCTAAGGGGGTGCCAAAGGGACAGCACGTATTTGGGGGTTCCCTCAAAAAAAGACAAACCCACACGGCTTGTTCCTGTGGCGCTTGCATAGGATGCTTGGAGCGTGTGCCTGCGGCGGAGCACATGCAGGCCGGACCAGATCGTGTCTCAGCCTTTGCTGCTTCGAAGTCAGGTTTGGTCCTGACCAGTTTTGAGATACCTCAATCAGGCATCAATGAGGTAATCCTCATTTGGTAATTATTGGCGGTTTGAAATTTGAACCTTCGGTTCTTGTAGAGGGTAGCTGGGAACCTCCAAACAACCAATCCAACCCACCAATTGGAGGGAAGCCGAAACAACGATTAGTCGGTTGAACACAAGGATGAGACAAGTCCTGATTTTGGGATGAGAACTCCATTTCACTTCGCTGCCTCGCCAAACTTATTCCCGCTTTGATTGAACTTCATCATCCACACATTCATGTATCATGTATGCTTTGACCCACGGATGCATTCCATTGCTTGATTATTGATCGCTATGTTTCTGTGCTCTCTGAAAACAAGTGTTTCCTACCATCCTCTGATACGAAATCCGAGCGAAACTCGATAGCAGCCCCGACACGTTTGAGCATAACAAATCTTGTCATGAACAAAAAAAAAGACCTTCCTTTGTAAAGATAATCAAGTTCAGATGAAGCGAATCTTTAATATAGTGCCACTCGAAGGCCTAACTAGAGAAGGGGTTTCGAACCCAAATTGGATCCAGAGGAGGGGTCTTCCCGAAGCCTGAAGAGAACATTGTGGATTCGTTGTATCCCTTGTTTTGGGGAGACGGTACGCATTTTCATTTGGATGGCTTCAGCCGCTTGCAGGGCCCGCTTGCAGCTGCCCACCCGTCGCGTGCTTAGCAGAACCCGACGTTTTGGATGCGCGCGGCCTAGCTCCCCCGAATCGTGGAAGCTGAAAGGACTGTCCACACGGGTGCGTCTTTTTTTCAGTTTACCTTTTTTGGGTTGGTTCAAAGGGAGGTTAAATGAACACCACCCAGTTGTTGGAAGGTAAGCTCCAAAGCTTTTGGGGCTTGTAAGAAGGGAATGGATCAAAATTGCTTATTTTCCTATTGTGCCGTTCCTTTCCTTATTTATTCTCAGGTCCCTTAGTTCCTGGAAGGCATCTAGCCAGCTCTACCCCGCAGTTGGAAATAGGGGACTGCTTGCTTTCTCTCCTGACTTTCCTTCCAACGCCAGAAGATCCATCGGTCCATTTCTCCATTTGGGTGTGTCTTTTTTTAGGGGCCCCACAAAATAAAAGGTTTTCCTGTTGCTTTTCTCTTGCAGAACCCGAGAACAACAGGGAGATGCTCACAAACACGACGCAGCCATTACTTTCAGGCTGCAGCGCCGGCGGCGCAGTCGGCGCCCTCCGCGCCATCGGCGCCCTCCGCGCCATCGGCGCCATCCGTGCGGCTGCCTGGGGATTGAAACCGAAGCCGAGTGGATCGACAGGAAAAGAAGATGAGGCAATTGAAGTCTTTCGCTTTGTTCGCGGAAGGACTTGGACCTTATTGCCGGAAACGTGGGACACGTATGTATAGCAGTGCAGGGCACATGACCCGGAAAGGATGAACAATGTGCTGCAAAGTGAATCCGCCGCTCAGGCCCCGGCAGATCCAGAAGGTCCGGGTGCGAGACGCGCTTTTTGGCCAGAGACGGCTTTTTGGGCTCTGGGAGAGCAGTTTCCACCCGTTGCTCTCATGTTGAAAATTGCGAAGCGCGTTCCAATCTGCTGGCATGCCAGACATTTGCGAGCGCTTCGAGCAGTGGGAAGAGTGGGATGCAAGGGCCTTGGAGATGGGGGGGTCGGCGCGCATTGGTGGCCATGGGGGCATTGCTGGGTTGTCCTTGCACATCATCAACTCTCCAATATTATCCAAACAACATCTACAGCAGAATGATGCGGGAAGATGTGCGAGACCTGGAAGCCATTGTGAAATGCTGTGACATTCTTGGCAGCAGACTGACTTGGAAGAAACCAATGTGCATGTTTGCTGGGTCTCTCTCGCTCTTTGCTTCGTGACATCATTTCGCCGGTCGTTGAGTTTTGGGAGTGGTTTTCACTGGGACATGAGGGTTGCCGATGAGGGAACTGGGGGAGGTTGATGCCAGAATTCTTAACAGGTGCGACATCGGAGTGCTGGCATCATTCCCGTGAGACCTTTTTCTTAAACAACATGAGCCACCAGCATCAGTTGTTGAGAGTGGATTATTAACTTGGCTGTGGTCGATGCTGAATGAACCAGGTTGAAAAGGTGTCAAATTGAAGACAAACTCAATATGTACCGTATGATCCATATGTATGTTCAGTCATGCCTCCAGTGCTCCCTCTCAGGCGTCCACGCCGCTGTGGAAACATGCCGTGGCCGGCAGCTGCGTCGCGTTCTCAAGCTGGGTTCGTGCGAGTTTGTAGGAGGTTCCTCTGTGCCTCCGGGCACTGAACAAGTCCAATTCAGTGACATATGTTGTTGAAGCAGGTGGTGTATCATGTTGCTTGATATGATTGATGCCCAATTCTTGAGCTGGGCATGGACCTTTGCCTTTCTAACCATTGACATTTGAAGCGTACTGCCGACGTTGAGAGCTCTCAATCACGAGACCCCGACAAGGGCGAGCTGGTTATCGTTGGCCCAGAGCAGGCGAACAATTTCGCGACTTACGTCTGGCAATTCCGTGACTGGAGCGGGAGTAGTTGACTTCTTTGCAGCTTGGTTGGTTGATCAACTTTGACCTTGCTCGGCTTCGACACACTTGTTCTCAGTGCCATATCTTTGCATGCATGAAACTCATTCGACCTCGGTTTTGATCAGATCATTGCGTGACCTATTTTGCACTTTTGAACTCTAAGCCTCCTGCATGAGCGATGACTGACTTTTGAATTCATACACCTCGCCACTGATTGGCATCAATATTCCTTTCTCCTCAACATGGCGCGGTTTAGTAGGGTAGACCTCACTAGGATCGAGCACAGACACACGGCTAGCGCTTGTGTTCCAGGATTTTTCCGTAGACGAACACGCAGGCACGCATGTAATCAATTTGTTTGAACTGACAATTGTAGACTTTGAATAAAGCGCGCGCACGTTTATGTAGATGCGCCATTTGCATGCTGTGGGAGGGCCAGTACGTTTGAATGCTGTCAATTTGTAGCTTTATACATAAAGCGCGCGCGTGCTTGCTTATTTTGCAGGCTTCTGGTGACAGCTTCAGCGGTTATAGCTTGATTATCGGCTTCGGCTGAGGCCGGCGTCATGGAGCACATCGGCATGTACCCGCTGGACACGGTGAAGACCCACATGCAGGCAGAAGTGAGAAAGGTCATTGTTTTCTGGGACCGCTGCCCAAATTATATTCCCAATCCGAACATGTGTAAAGGGCGATTAATTCCGCCTCGCAGCGGCAAGGGAGGAATTGAAGATCGATGTGGCACGGGCGTGGGACCGACGAGGGGAACTGGCGAGCAACTTGTTGGTTCTTGTCAAACGGCTTCAGTGGCAAGCTGCAGCTTTGAACACTTAAGCTCCAAGCATTGCCGTGTAAATCCTTTGGGCGGAAGAGGGGACTATTATATTTGTGACAAGAGGTTCTCTGAGACTTGTTTCTCAGAGTGCTGCTATTTGACTGTTACTCTGGATGCGGACGATAGCAACCCTTGGCATGGTCACACCTTCCTCAACAGCAGCGCGATAAGCGGCAATCCCGTTGAGCTTCTTGGCTTTCCATTCTTTCATGCCTCTACTTCGTGCAGTGCTGGGAGCCAGCATGTGTTTGAGAGCATTCCTGGGCCATTGGCACATGTTCCTGGCTGGCTGATTTTCTATGACAGGTTTATGAGAAGGTCAGCCGATGCAAGGTAGGTTTTGGATGGGCCCCTGCTGTATTTGTCAGTATTTGACCGTCTTCTCCCATGAAAAGCAATGCACTTCAGGTACCCTCTCAGTTTTTTTATTTGGTTAGCTATTGCCACAGCTCACTTTTGAAGGATTGATGCTGCCAATTGAGGGTCACTCAAGTGAACTCAGTCTTGCAGAATCTCCGTGAACATGCAGGCCTATGTTCATCCTTCATGACGTTCGCTTTGCCTCAGGCCTTGCGGCCTGGCGGTCGCCTGACCTTGTCTGGCGTGGTGCAAGGCATTGCGGAGGACGGCAATAACGGTTCGGTTGGTCTATTTCCATGTGCTGACGCGTGATAGTGTTTGCCGACTTGAATAATGCGAACTGCAGGATGGCTTTCCCTGTACGATCCTGCAAAGTGACACGCCCCGAAACGGATCAAGCAGGTTCTGCTTGAGCAGCCGTATAATGGAGGGAAACGAAAGCTATGTGTTCCTTCCCTTTTCAGGCGCTGCAAGTGGATTGTAAGGTGTGGCAAGCTGGTGCTCTGATTCTGTTGAGTCATCAAACTATCCAGCCCTGTCAATACAGACGCTTGACCACAGATCTTCATGTTATTTGCTCAACAGGAACCACAGCTTATTCCGGGCAAGCTCTGCTGCTGCTCTTGAAAGGCACGGCAAGAAGTACATCAAGGTCTCCTTGCGTTCCTTCACGCTCCTTGCTGGCCACCAGTCTGTGAGCCCTTGTATCGGATGGCTTGCTACCCGTTCGACTTTGCGGATGACTGCCTTGGATTCAAAGTTTTGCATGCCTCAGAGCGCTGCGGACAGGGATGCTTTTGGATGCGCATGATGCCTGCTTCGCGCACGCTCTGCTGGAGCCTTATCTACCTCTTTGCGCATTACGATGGCTTTGCAGTTTCATGGAGTTGTAGTTGCCAAGTTTCTCATGTGATTCGTCCAACGTCGATAAGTTGCCGCCTGCTGCCCGCCCTGCTTTGAACTTGAACCAAATTCCCCATCTGTGCATTTGCAAGGCAAGTGACCAATTCGCGAAGGAGAGCGGCGGCCGCGGCTTTATGCGCGGGGCTTCCTCCATCGTTATAGGTGGGACCGGGGCCGGGAGCCGGGGGATGATTTTGCAAGTTGGGAGTTTGACACGTGTGGCTTGGAGGATTTCATGGAACACCATTCGGGTCGCCTGCAACTGGGCAGGCACAGGGTGACAGGGGGACCGCTCGGCGTTTCCAGCCAGGAGCAGCTACATTGCCACTTTTGCGCCATCACACAGGGTATATACATCTTTTCAATAGTTGTCAAGCAACTGCACAACTTATAGGATTTCACGCAAGCCAAAATCAGTTGTACGAGCACCAGAGGTACTGTGCAAGCCAGGCCTTCAGCAGGGTTCGGTGTGTGCCAGGCTGTGTCCCGGCCCACATTGCTCTTTTCACGAGCTACGAATACGTGAAGGCGCTGCATGGCTTGAATGTTTGAGTAGCTGCATGTCGAGCCCCTTCGTGTCCCAAGAAGGTCAAAGACGAGAGCAGCCATTTGCCATTTTGAGGTCTTGATTGGATCAGACACTGACTGGCTTTGCCATGTGTTTCCTTAGAACAATATGTTGGGATGTTCCTGCACTTGATTTCGAACAGGTCTGGGTTCTTGTGTGTCCATACAGGCTGCTTTCCAGGTTCTTGTATGCCACGCATGGCCATTTGAAGAGTATGATGTGTGCGCAGCATCATTTGAGTCGAACAACACATGAATGAGTATTTGCCGACAAAGTGCATTGCTGCCAAATGTTCCTTCACCAGTTAGCATCCAAAGACAGTTATCAGCGAAGACTACCAGAGCGGTGTTTGCTTGCTTTGAATGCAAGGACAAAGGCCAGCACCCGAGCAGAGCATCCAACTTCGGTTTACCTGGCATGCACATTCTGTGAATAGCAAGGACTGCTTTACACCGTTGGGCTGTCCATGTGACCTTGGACTTCACGATCTCCGAGTGCCAGGGTCGGGTGATCAGCGACGAGACCGCCCACGAGCCAGCGCGAGCAGCGCTGTGTGGCCACGGGCCTCGGGAGGGTCGGGTCGGGCCGTGGTGCTCCATGGCAAACGAGCTGAAAGGCACGGGGACCACCCATCCGCCATTTTCTCGATCAGAGTTGGCGGTTGTTTCTTTTGTTGTAGAGCCTTGCGCAACGAAGGAGACTGTGGCTCCACATCGCCTTATCATGCAGCTATGTGCTCAGGTGCCATGTGTTCACAATGTCAAGGCTGCATTGAAAAACATCGTCCGCCAGTATTTTGACTTTTTGTTTTTGCGGGCTTGGGCCCGACATAAACCCAGCTCCCAATGTCAGATTCCGCCTTCCTGCTTCCTTCGACCCAGTTTCCGACTCTGGCTCCAGCAAGCAGCACGCGTAAGGCTCCGCGGGAGGATGTCAGCCAAGCCAAGCCAAGTTCCTCAGGCCTAGTGGCCCAGGGCCAGGTCCATACGCATCCGCCAGCTTCCGGCCATGTGCGTGGCAAAGACCGAATGTGGAGACCTCATGGCAAAGTTCATGAAGGACGGAAAATGGAGGGAGCTGATGCTACAGATACCAGAGCAACCCGTTTTTTTGCACGACGCCTGCGGTCCTGTTGCCGGAAAAGCCACCGAAGAAGCGACATGGAAGTTCCTACCCGGCGCATCCCTCAAGACCCTTTCTCCGACCCGAACCCAAGTTTAGAGTTTAGAGACAGGATATTTCGGGCTGAAGCTGGGTCAGCCGGTGTTGCAGCAATACGAAGCAACCTCAAACACAATGGGGAGAGCGGTTCAAGCATTTGACCCTGAAATTCTTTCAAACACATATGCAAGAGACAGCTGGACAATCGTGCCACACACACACAAAATGTCAATGCAGATTGTGAACGTTGTGCACAGGCTGCGCGTACGTTGTGAATACTGTGAATACAATGACCTGAGTGGTGAAATCCCTGCAGGAAGAGAGTGCTGCCTTCCTCATGGATCCCTCCACTGAGCAGCTGTTGGCCGTTTCTGCAGAGCTCTGTAGGCCTGGGGACCACTTTTTGGGCGCCCTTGGCCCGGCCCCGCCATCCTAGATCCAGCTAGATCAAAGGCCGGTGATGGCGAATCTTTGAGTCTGATTTGCATGTTTGTGTGGCACGGCGTTGGAGGAGGCCAACAGGTACGCCTTGCAACTTAAGCTGACTTTGCGGATGTACAATGAGCCCACCAACGCAAAGTGTTCTTTGAGCAAAGTGTTCAAGGAGTTATTTCACTTTGACACGGAATCTGTCCTTGATGAAAAGTGGAATGTGTGCTCCAGATTTGGACAGGCTTGGCGGCGATAGGTGTGGCAAACTTGATGGGCTTCCCGTGGCCCGGACAAAGACCGGGATTCGTTTGTGACCGTGAGGTCACCCAGCGGCCAGAACCTCATCTCAAAACTCGACGGCCCCTTTGGTTCCTGAAGGGAAGCGGAAACCAAAGCAGGACATCTCCTTGCCCTTCCAGAGTTGACATCAGATTCGACACAGCCGGTCAGCGGGTTGCTCTCCAGGCAGACTCGACACAGCGAGGCCGCGCTGCTTGAGACTGGCCTCGAGCTACTGCTGCGGGGGCTTCCCAACCATTTGGCGCCTTGGCAATCACAGGGTCCAGGTGGACCGGGAGACCGTATGAAGCCCTGTGAACGTGAACAGAGCTGTCCCGAAAAACAGCAAGCATCAAGCACATCTGTGTTTGTGCCTGTGGTCAAGTAACAAGCAGGATCAGTTGACGGCAACCTTCCAAGAAGATGGATGTGAATATTTGGCCAAACTGGGACAGCACCTGCCTGCATCAGCTTCGTTACAAGCGTGTTCAAGCATCCAGTTGGTATGTCAGTTCGGTTGGCTGAGCATCGGGGTGCATGCTGAGCATTGGGTCCCACAAAGCTGGCAGCCCCAAAACAGACAAATGCATCGTGGTGCATCCCTTCTAGGCTTAGCCTTTTCGCAGACTTGAGTCAGCTTGGAGGTCTGCGTTTGACCCACATACCGCCGGAATGGCATGACATGGGAAAGGCCATCGAGTCAGACATGAGAACCTGCAGCAAGGAAACACGCGGTAAGCCCCAAACCAGGAACCTCTGCCATCATCTTCTAACAGTAGTTTGTCTTGCGGGAAATGTGGTGCGGTCTCTGCGCTGTGGGAGGTCTCCAGATCAGCGCAGATGAAGACCAAAGCGCCTGGACCTCAGTTCTCCAGTCAGTAGCCCGGCCAGACGTCCGCGATAGTCATGCACACAGAGCCAACGGGGGAAGTTTCTGAGGCCTCAGGATATTCATTCGTACGGATTCAATCCCTGCTTTGCATCGCCTAAAATTTCAACGGTAGCCTATGGCAGGCCAACGCGGCGCCACTGGCAAGAAGAAGGACATGATTACAAGAGGAGCCCATGACAAGAAAGGGGTAGCAGGAAACCCTTCCATGGTATCTCCCATAGTTGACCCAAGGGCCTCTATGCGTTGCACAAACAATTCTGACCTTTTCAACGCCTGTTCGATCCATCCCGCAACGCAACTCTGAGGTTTTGCCAGTCCTGTAGGTCTGGCATCGAGCGCAACGGTGAGGTCTCGGCCATTCAGCAGCCCGGCATTGAGCTTCTTGAGTTTCGGTCAAGCGGGGTGGGGTGGGGGTGGTAGGGCTTGAGGGAGCGGGTGGTGGCAGGGTTTGAAGGCGGGGAGGGTGGTAGTGTGGGGCTCCCCCTTTGGCGACATACCAACTATGCATGGGGTAGGGTGGAGCCAGTAGTGGGGGTTGCGCGAGTGGCAGAGGCCACGGGGGGTTGCCAAAAACTCGGGTCAAAGCCACTTAATCTAGTCAGCTGGCTGGTAGAAAGCTTTCTGTGATCATGGTTTGGAGTTGCTGGATTTGAGTGTCATCAAATGGCGCTTCCGCGAACCCACCATCACTTTTCACTTCCTTTAAAGCCTGTGTAGATGTTGCTTCATCAACTTCTGAAGCATACAAACAAAGCCCTGCATTTTGAGAACTCCCTCAGAGTTGCGACAGCTCTCCACTTGAGCGGCTCCGGGACATTCTCTGTCGTTGAAAGAAGCTTATGTCCCATCTTGGAAAGCAACAATTTGAAAGGAGGTGTTTGAAATGGCTTTCATTCGAGGAGTTCTTGTGTCAATGTGGGTGTTTGAGCCTGAGAATGATCGGTTTTCTCTTGGTTCCCTTTAAATTACGCGGGGGACTCTGATTGTAGGACGCCCCCACCTCTCATTTGTGGAGCGGGGCATGCCCACAGTCTGCCAAGGGCCTGCCAGAGGGGCGATGGCTCCAGTTTCCTGGCGTTCCAGCTTCTGAGCATGTGTGAGGCACAGGGATCAGCCGATTCGTAGAGTGCTTCACTGTGATTGATGGCGACTTCATAGACCGCATTAGGATCCAGCATAGATTGTATCGCATCATTCACGAATTGCGGATGCAAAGTCGGATATGATCAACTTGTGCTATGGATTGTATGCGATGCCGGCACGTTGCACAGGCTGTATTTGAGGATGTCTTTTGCTCTTGGACATTTTTAGCCCGAAGTGCCGGCTCGCTAGATCACGGGCATGCAAATTTTGAGCCGCTGTGCTTGATCCCAACCAACAGATTCGTCTATTCGTAAATTCCCCTGACCAGCCTGCCACAGGAAACAGATAGTGCCGGAGTAATCACCAGTTGATTTACACTCTATTAATTCCTTTCCAAGCCTATCATTCATGGCTTGGGGAATTCATCATCTTTTCCATACACATCCTCGCCAAAGGAATTATTATCGGGCGAGGAGGGCCAGCCGTAAGTAGCCCGGGAGGCTGGCATGAAGAATATTCTATCACCCAATGCAGAGAGACAGAGATACAGCAAGAGGTAGCGATTTGCCACCAGTAACGCTGTTTGATGTCAGTTGAATCCAGAGACCTAGCCGTCATTCATTCTCTCTGGACTGCTTCTGATGATGATTGTGGCAAGGCGAGGGAGACGTGGCAGAGCAGCAACCATTTGGCAAGCGCAAAGATGAATAAACCGTGAAGCATCAACGGATAGCGGAGGACCTGCTTACAACCAGCATAAACATGTATCAAGGCCTGCCATGAGTTTAAGTCCATCCATTTGTCTCGGTTTTTTTTCGTGCTGCCAATCGGCAAATTGACTTTTTGGCAGTGTCACGCTTGACTCCTTTTTACATTGCATTGGGGCAAAAGCCAAGAGAAGGGAGAGCGAATAGGAATGCCGGAGCAGAAGTTGTTAGCAATCGACTTTTATTACACGTAGCTTTGACCTGCACAGAGTGCCCTAAGTTGGCGGCTTGGAGCCGCGGTTTGAAGAAGTCATTTGCCAACCACTAACGGAGGACACTGAGGACATGCGTGGTTTTAAGTACGTTTTACTCCAATTGGCGTTCATGACACAAGTTTGAAAGCAGCCGTCCTTGGAGGTAGAGGGAAGATGCGTAGTGCTGGGAGCTGGGCACTCAGAGGGGACATTCGGCAAAGGGTGCGGTTTGCGTGGGCAGTGTGTGCACTGGAGAGCCAAACACTAAGCTGGCCACCGGGGCCACCGGGTGTTTGGGGACACAGAGATGTGAGAAGAAGGTTATATTCGCAATGTCCATTCGGCGAGACTATGAATCGTGCTTATCTCAAGCCAAGTTAGGATGGGCTCATGGGAGCCAGTGACTGGCAAGAAGAAGAAAACCCCTCGAGCGGTGAAGCTGCAGGTGCAGCTCTTCGCGTGCGAGGTTTCGGTGAAGCCGCCGTCGGAGCTGCACGAGGAGGC